TATCGTCAACTACCATCGATCTCCGCCGACCTCCGTCAACCACCGCTGACTAGACGTTGTCAGTCGACGCTGTAACTTGGAAAGCTAGTAACCCTTTCCCGCCAGTGGGACAAGAGACATCTGTAATCATTAACTTATAGTTGATTTTTACAACTGGGCCAGACCCAGTGCTTTTTCTCCTTTACAAGTATTTCACGTAAAAAACTTCTATTGTTATCACAGCTTGATTCATTTTTATTTGAGTGTGTGATGAATCCTCATGCAACGCTAAGACAATAATCCATTACTCTACTGCTACAAATTTTCTAGCACGCACCAATATCTAGCACAAAAAAATTAATTATTACACTTATAGCGCTCAAATTTTTTATGTCACATACAAATGTATTTATTTTAATATCTAAAAGGAAAATATCTGTTATATATATATATCATATATAAATCCCTTCTACAAAATCGAATAGTTTCTTCTCATTTTGAACCATAAGAACCAAATATTTGATCACACCAAATATGTCTTCTTTCTTTAAATTTATTTAGCTTATACAAAGGTTTTCTTGCATGTTATTACCACAAAGGTTATTGCTCTTTTTTTTTAATGAGGCAATTACATACATCTACCCAATTCTTAAGTATTTACATATCGAACTCCTAAATTTTACTTTTTTTATTTATATCATAAAATTATTACATCACATAAAAATATCACTGTTTTGACTTTAAAAGTTATATACATTTTCTTAAACAAATAATAAGCTGACATATAGTATATTTGTAAAAATTGAAGCTTATCTTACATATGTAAATACATAGAAATTGAGTGGTATGTATGCAAATCTTCTCTTTGTTAGAATGGCCGGCTGGCACTAGGATTGGGATTCTTCACTTTGTTTTGTTTCCAATCAGTGCTACGCATTTGAACACTAGTGTCAACAAGGTTGGTGCTCTCTTTTCACTAATGTCGACTTTCCTTGCTTGATAAAATATTTCAATTTTTTTTTTCTCATTCAAAATGTTTTTTTAGGGCCTATGATCTTAAAATTTCTGCCGAACCTTATGAGAACTGGTAAAAATTGTGGATTCATTTTTCATTTTTAAGATCTACATCATGGCCTTGAAAACCAATTTTGAGGATAAAAAGAGAATTTTTCTTAAATTATTGCAGATTGATCATTGATGAGACCTGAAATTTCATACCGTGAAGCTGTAATCGATTTACAAGCAAAATTTTTATGTACAAAATCCTTATATATATGTTACTTACCTTGAATTTTTACCTTCTTATGTAGAAAAATAAAATCTTATTGGTTTCATATAATAGTTTAAAAGCTTCGCAAACTGATCGATGTTGCCATTTGGCCCAAAAAACCTAAAAATGAGTTTTTCATCATTTTTACTTCCACAAGAGCAAAACCAACCCCACCTGACTAGTTACAATCACAACTTGAGAGCAAAGCTTGTACAAATAAGGGTACATGCAAAAACCATTGGCTGGCTCATCAACTAAGGTATATCCGAGGCCACTGTTACCGCTGCTTCCTGGCTCCGCAAGCGGGGGAGGTTGAATGACGACATCTTTGGAGGTTCACATTTACTTGGTTTATCGAATCTTATGAAGTTATAGGCCAAGGAGCCTGATATTGTGCCGACTACCGGACCCAAAAAGTAGACCCAGAGTGAGTCAAATCGCTTACTGGCTAGTGCTGGTCCTAAACTCCTTGCAGGGTTCATCGATCCTCCAGACACGGGCCTGCACAATTCAAATTTGCAGTAAATAACAACATAAACTCAATTTTTTTGTTTGGCAAATGATTTATTTAAAATTTGATAGCTATAGTTAGCTTCCTTTAATAAAACATACCGAAGATTTCAGTTTTTAAATGGTTCAGTTGGAGGAGAAATTTGCTAGTGTGGTATTAGGAGAAATTAGGACCTTTTAAGAGTAAAATAAAAGAAACCAAGTGCTCCAGTGGTTTATGTTTATATAGTCTTTTGCGTAGTTTTGAGTTTAGAACTCTTGATCGCCACTCAAAATGTTTGTCAAGTAGCTTATTGTGGACTTTTTATTTGTGCATTGTTTATAAAAAAAACTATTTTTAAAAAATATATTTAATTTACGGAAGATATAAATGCATAGTACTTATCAATTCTTATGTTTTTACATATCTTAGTTACACCTCAACTTTAAATTTTATATATATGGCGCCTTAATTATGCATGAATAACTGTATTTCACTTTTCAAATTTGAAATTTGTGGTATTTTATATGTTATAAGAAAGATTTGGCTGGTATTAACTTGAAAAGTAAAATTTATGAGTTAGATATATAAATATTTAGGAATTGGGTGGTATGTATGCACATGCCCCTCTATTTTTATGCGTAAAAAAACATTATATTTGAGGGAATTTAGAGGAAATTTGTGAATGTTGATTACAATTAGTTAGAATCAAAGATGAATGAAGCAAATTTATTCATGTTTCAATTTAAAATAGCTAAATAGATTCTAATCAAACACTAATTAATTCCGGGTTCTCTCTTCTAATTACCCGGCCAAAATAGAGTTGATGCAAACAGCGGATCCGACTGCCAGGCCTGCCAACTCTCCTACCTGCATGTTCATGAAAAATAAAATTAATCATATACATATATATACGAGCCCTTCATTAGTAAATTAAGCTTTACTTAATTACTACTACAATGTGAAAATAATGATCAAAGAATAATATACTCACAGCTCTGGTGTCCGTAGCAACCGCAGAGGTGACGAACATCATGATAAAGGTGACTACAATTTCCATGATTAGAGCCTGCAGAGGCGTGCCCGAAGGAGTTGTAGTCGCCAGGTTTCTAATAGGATGAAGCAAGGCCTTCAGGACGAAAGAGGAGGTTATTGCGCCGGTTAGTTGTGCTAGCCAGTAGAAGGGTACCTGAAATTTCTTCCACTGGTTAGCGTATGTATAGGCGATATCAATATTAAATGCGTTTGATTAAAAATATAAGAAATTTTTATAAATAGTTAAAGGTTTTTATTTTGTATTGCAAAATATATTTACTTTGAAAGATTTACATGCATACCACTCAATTCCACTGTATTTACATATCTGACATCTGAAATTCAATTTCTATAACGTCAGCTATCTTAAATGTATTTCATTCTTTTAAAGTTAAAATTGTGATATGTTGATTTTGGTGGTATTAAAGAGTAAGAGTATAGTTCTTAGATATGAAATTAATACGTAGGAATTTGATGGTATGTATATAAAGGCCCCATAAACTTTAAAGGTAAGATTTGATTGATTCATGCGCTAGCATGGTAGCGGGCCGACCTTCAGCCTTTTATTAAAAATATTGCATATAAATAACATTTTTTAATAAATTTAAGTCCAAATTGGTACATTTCCTCTTAATTATATATAAGAATATGTGCGACGTGGATGAGCCAAGCATTCGTATTAGCTATGCTATAATTATCGGTCCTTGGGTCATTTGCTAGTAAACCAAAGCGTCTTTATCATCAACCGTTTCTCCATGGCATAGTTTTATATGGTAAATGGGCTGATCAATCTAGTCTTATTTCATTTCATTGACAGAATAATTACCCTACCTGGAGAGAATAAAAAAATGCAAGATGATGGGACAATACGTGGATATATCGATCCTAAGTTAAACCGAGCGAATATTATAAGCACTTGCAATACATCCTGTAATACTTTAAAAGACAATAATTGAGAAATTTAATAGTTATTACTTGGTCTTATTCCATGGAACTACTTGAGGTCGGTTCTATGTATCATCATTCTCCAGCTATTCATCTCTTTGATCGAATTGTACAGATCATGCATGAAGTGTTTTACTCTATTTCTTGAAATTATATTTCAAAATTTTAAATATATTATATTATATCGTCTGCTTCTTATTCTTCCTAGTCTCTCATTTTTTTTTTCTTAAATAAACTAAAAATTATTAATACAAAATATTTAAAACAGAAAAGGAACCAAATTAACTAGCACTATCAGTGCTAACCGCAGCCCTAGGGTTGTTTACTCTCATTTTTTTTTCTTAAATAAACTAAAAATTATCAATACAAAATATTTAAAACAGAAAAAGAACTAAATTAACAAGCACTATCAGTGCTAACAGCAGCCCTAGGATTGTTTGATTTCTTCAAACAAATTTTTAGTAATTTGTCGGATTAATACATCTTGTAAATTCTCTTTATACACGCTCAGACAATGTACACTATTCTCATGCGCGTTTTACTTCTGATCATTTTTCCTAGTCAATTCTTTCTTAGTGAAGTATCCTTGCTACGATAAAAAAACAAAAATACAGAAAAAAAAACTTATAAATATATCAGTATATATAAATATTGTTAGCAAGTTTCCGTATGTACCTGAATCCAAGGAAATTGGCCGTGCTTAGATACAGCGAAGGCAAGCGTAACAGCAGGGTTCATGTGTGCGCCTGAGATGTGTCCCACAGCATATATCATCACCGTGACTATCAACCCGGAGGCAACTGAAGCGCCTAACTGCGACACCCTCGTGTCATCGCTTAGATGAATCGCCCCCACTCCACATGACACGAATATCAATATGAACGTGGATATGATCTCCGAGACAAACTGAATTATACATGCCAAGAAATAGCTAGGAGTCATTAACCTTAATCAATTATAATTTTCAATTCTTGATCGATTTGCCATTCGAAATTCATTGTCACAGTTCATTCACATACATGTATTTGTGATAAAATAATGTTTTTTTGCTGGGTGAATCGTTCTATGTTATGAATTGGGATTAAAATTTTGAAAAAAAAAAAGCCAAGTTATAGAGATAGATGTTATAGACACGTGAGATATTGGCAGGATCACACATCCGGATAATGGCGATGATCCAACAACATCACTGTATATTTCACTCAGATCATCTCCGTGCAGAAACACACCAGGATGTACCATTCAAAAGGTTATATCATAAAAACATAACAATTAAATATTTGTATTCACCTTTCGCAGAAGAAAGGGAGGGAGAGTTATTCGCGAAGGCCAGGAAGGTTGAGAGGAGAAGCTCTCAGGAGCCATGAAAATGTTGTTCTCAACCGTGCCAATGTCATGGATCTCATTGGAAGAAAAACTATGTCTTGGTGGGTATGTGGTCATCTCTGAGGATATTGAAGAAAGGATTTCTGATCAGTTATTCCCTTCTTTTCTTCACTTACTGTATACGCCTCTTAAGCTTTTTTTCCTCTGACGAGCGATATATCGCAGCAAGGCTTTCAGGGTATTTATAGGATAGAAGCAGAGAGCATCAGCTGCCAGTGCACAGTGTGGTCATTGGCTTTCGTATGCAGTAATACTCTAGTAATATGAGTCGTCCTCTTTAACATTTTTTATTTTTGGCTCGTGTATCATTCGTGTGCATGATTCTGGTCTTCACCACTGAAGGTTTAAACTTTAAATTAATTTCTCTGCTGCTCGAACGTCCGTAGAATTTAATTAATTAGTGGAAGTTAGAAAGTAAACGCATAGTAACTGGTTTAGTTAGCTAGGATTTTGATGTTGGCCAGAATCATGTAGGAACCAACCAATGAGATTTTCTTTGGTAGGCGGATTTGGTACAAGACGGCCAAAGGATAGAGGACAAGTAGTGCGCCATTCAAAACTGGGTAAGAAATTATATTTGGGTTTTGATACTGAATATGTAATAAAAGCGAGAGAGAAGGGAATCTAATCTCATAAATAAATAAAAGAAAACTATCTTATGTTATCAAACTTTCAGTTCTTTTTATTTCTCTCTAGTTACGCAATACCTCATGCATACGTACACCAACTCTAAGATTTGATTCTGATTAGTGAGTTATAAGAAAAATAATTAAAGTAGAGCCCTTAATTAATTTGCGTTAAAGTTCAATCCTACTTCTTTTTCCTACTTATGATATATGTTGGCTGAAGATGTTATGGATTGCTTTGAAAGATTATCATCATGAATAATGCGGTTCGGTGTAATTCTCTCTTGTTTTTATTCTCTATAATTTAATATTTTTAATGTGATAATTGTATATAATATTCAGTGATATCTAAGGGCTTTTAAAAAAAGAAGTGTGATGATTGAAGTTGAGGGCTTTCGATGGAATATATCAAAATATATCAGATTTAGCCCCAAGTAATTAATTAAAAACTACGTTAATATAGAAATAATGAGACTGATTCTCCTTTAAAGAATTAAATTTTGGAGTTAAAAATAATATCGAATATATTATTTACTTTAAATTGTCTTTTGTTATTTGTTTACTTGGATCATAATGAATAGAGTTTTCACATATTTCTTTAAGAGAAATGGATTTTTATATCCAACTTTCTACAACTAAGAATGGATGATATACATTGACAGTGTTACTAGTCTGGCCCTTGCCACGCAGTGGCACATGCTTACGCTTTTAATCATCACTCACAGTTCAATCATTAGCGTGGGAGAATTAAAGTGCTGGCCAGCATCACTCACAGTTCAATCATTAGCGTGGGAGAATTTAAAGTGCTGGCCAGTGCTGCGCGTGGTAGCCGTTAAAAATTCTTCTGAGTGCGTGCTTATATATAAGTAAGTCTCGAGGAGAAAAATTTAAATAGCTATTTATTAATTTTAAATTTATTAAAATACCTAGATATCAACATAATACTTGATAATAAAAGGAAATAAGATGAACTATATGATGGAATCTTTTGAATTTTGGCAAGGTTTATTAAAATGTACTTCAAAGAATTATAAGTAGTGCTCATTCTGCATATGAAATGGATCAAAATTTACTTTTGGGAAAAATTTGTGCTCCAAAAGCTTTAGAGCTTAAAATGATGTTTGACATAAATGATCATTACTGTTGTCTAATTGTTTTCTCTTGTTCATCATCATTTGATTATCAGCATTCAACCACTACATTTAATTCATTATTATCCACCAGCATTTAACTTTTATTGACGTCCAATCATCGTCATCCATCTAATAAACTCCAACAATCATCAATATTTCTTCACCACTTCTAACTCTGCTGTAATTACTTGAGATCAAACTGAAGTATTTACTTTATAATATCATCTTCTCCAATAAAAAGAAGAACATAATTATGTAATGCTAATTGAACCCCATACTTTATTCTATTTACAGAAATTTTTCACATTTGGTATCCATCTCTTTTTTTCTATTTGTACAAAATTTACATGCAAAATTAAAATCTAAAGTATTTTTTTTATCGTAATGAAATTTCTATCACGTAATAAATTAAAAATTAAAAAATATTGGTTACTCTAAAGTTTTTTTAAAAAAGCTACTATTAGTTATTAATAACAGAGCTTCAAATCTCTAAAAATTAATCTTTTTTGGTTGACATTCGGCCACCTATATATATATATATATCTATAGCAAAATCCTTAGAGTGAAGATTTATCAGGTTTTAGGTGAGAATCAAACTCAAAAGCTTAACAACAATCTCAAAGGTCATAACCAACTGAATTGGCTGCCACGATAAATTTACAATTACATGACTTTGAACTCACGCCCATTCAAAAGGCCATGCAAAAATCGATTGTTAACTGCAATCACACGGCCATACCAACCCCCCAATTGAACATATAATAACAGAAGATTTAATATAGTAAAAACTAGCTGCAAGAATAATCGAAAGGAGCACAAAGACCTTTGAAAATAATTGTAGTCAATTATACTGGAGCAAATGCATGGGTTAGTTTTTGCTCTTAACGAAGCATAGGGGTAACTTCGCAGGGTGAAATTATAACATAGCTTCATCATATTATTATGGTAAAGGCTTCTGCTGTTGTTAGCTGGAGCCCGATTTTGCTCCCGCCTAGCGATCTCGCTCCCGTTCGCCTGCTCTGACAAAGCGACGATGCTTCGCTTCGCCTCTCGCCATCAGATTCGCGAATGGGGAACTGTTCCCGCAAACAGTTCCGTTCTTTCATGAAGAGTCGCACCCCCCGCCTCCTTTTTATCACGAAATCGAGGGGTCTCATTGGGTCTTCAACATTTTTCTTCCTTTGCTCGAGCAACAGATTCCTGCGTCTAAGAAGATAGGAAGAAAGGTATAGCACAACTCTCATTATGATTTAGCACGACCTTTTTTGTGTTCTTTTTCGGGTTCCTCGGGAAAGAGGAAGAGAAGTGCAAGAAGTAGCTCCTTGCAGTAGAGAAAGAATAAAAAAACAGATGATTGTTCTCCCTTGGCTTCTTGTTGGTGACTTATGGCAGAAGAGAAATTAGGTTTATTTCTCTTGTAAGTTTATCTTCTTCGGTGTATCTGAGTGTAGAGAGAGAAGAAGAGAGAGCAAGAAAGTGATATATCCCTCTTGTAAGTCAAGAAGATCGACTTGTGTATATTCCACAAGTAGTAAAATGCTATGCAACTCCGTGAACGTAGACAATGACGTGAACGTAGACAATTTGCCGAACCACGTAAATCTGTGTGTTTCGCTGTGTTACTATTTTCTGGTGTGAATTTTCTCGTTCTATTTTTTGCTTCATCGTCGATCGTTCTAGTTTATTCTATTTTATATACCATAACAACTGATATCAGAGATTTATCCGGATCTGAGGAACAATAATGACAGCAGATGAAGTGAAGGTTTCAGAGATCGAGAAATTTGATGGCACAGATTTTGGTTATTGGAGGATGCAGATAGATGACTACATCTATGAGAAGAAACTTCATCTTCCGTTATTAGGGAAAAGACCTGAAATGATGAATGAGGCTGAATGAAATTTATTTGATCGACAAGTTCTAAGGATTATTCGATTGACCTTATTGAGGTCTGTTGCACACCACATCATCAAGGAAATAACGACTGCAGATCTCATGACAGTCCTGTCAGGTATGTATAAAAAGTCATTGGCGAATAACAAAATATATTTAATAAAAATGTTATTCAATTTGAAGATGGCGGAAGGTGCTTATGTTGCTCAACACCTGAATGATTTCAATACTATCACAAATCAATTGTCATCAATTGAAATTGAATTTGATAATGAGATACGTGCGCTAATATTATTGACATCATTGACATCATTGCCAAATAGATGGAAAATCATGAGGATGACAGTTAACAGTTCTGCAGGTAAATCTAAATTGAAATTGGATGATATTCATTATTTGATTTTGGCTGAGAAGGCGTAGGAAAAATTCTGGTAAGATCTAAGGTACGAGTTCGACACTGAATGTTGATTTCAGAGGGAGATGACATGAAAGAAACTCAAATAAAGGGAGATCAAAATCAAAGTCTATTCAGTAAACAACTTGATAGAATTGTGGCAAGGCTGACCACATAAAGAGGAACTGCAGAAATCCCAAGAATATAAAGAATGATAACGTAAATGTGGTATCTGAGGAAGTACATGATGCACTATTGCTGACAGTTCATAGTTCTATTTATGATGAAAGTGAGAAGGAGAGTGGGTCCAAGACACCCATTTCTATTGTTCCACAGACAGATGATGGAAAACTACATAACTATGAAAAAAACTTGCAAGATAAAAATTTGAGCAGGTGAGAGCTGGCAGAACTTCCATCATGGAAGAAGACATTACAAAATAAGTGAGTGTACCGAGTGAAGACTGAGCTTGATGACAGTAAGAGATACAAGGCTAGACTTGTTGAAAAAGACTTTCAGCTGAGGCAGAATATTTCCCATGCAGTGGGAGTTATAAGAAGAGACAAGAGTAACCTAGGAAATAGCATGGAGGTGCAAGACTATGTGGACCATGTTGATATGTTGATTAAGGGTGTTATTATGGAGAAACTGAAGTATTGCACAACGGAGCACGATAAAACACGTGAACCGCTCCCGCCCCTTATTTCATAAAGCGAAGCCCTTGCTTCGCCTGATCGTCACGCCTCTCTCAGCTTCACAAACAGTCGAGTCTCCCTCTCTATCACGATAGTTCTCGCTTCTTGTTTGCGATAAAAGGATCGCACGACTCCTTCAATTTAGACTACTGCACGACCTTTTGTGCTCTTCTTCGGTAGTATCTGCTTCCATGGGACAGAAGAAAAGTGCAAGAAGTAGTTTCTTGAGGTGAAGAAAGAAAGAAGAAGAAGAAGATTGTCATCCCTTGACTTCTGCTTGGTGGCTTGTCGCAGAAGAGAAATTAAGTTTATTTCTCTTGTAAGTTTATCTTCTTTGGTGTATCTCGGTGTAGAGCTTCTTCGGCGTATCTCGATGTAGAGAGAGAAGAAGAGAGAGCAACAAAGTGAGAGATTTCTCTTGTAAGTCAAGAAAATCGACTGATGTAAATTCTTCAAGT